AGGCACACGCTGATCCGCTACGACAAAACAGCGATGCTACGACTTAATTCCGGGACCCAGTAGGTAGTCAAGGTACACTATCTAGTTCCTCCCCTGTGAATATGCAAGTAGACCCGTGCTGTGTATGCTGCGTCAGCTTACACTGCACCAAAAACACAGCACAAAAATATTGAAAGTCTTGAAAGTCTGAGAAAGTCTTGAAACAAAGCGGTAGAAGCTTTGCTGGTGGTAGGGCGACAGCTGTCACAGTGTCACCACTTTGAAGTCCTGCTCTGTCAATTGGAAGTGTCGGGTCCAAGACGGTGCCATCTGCTGAAATAATTCTCACAGCGCCTGAAAGAGTCGAAAGAGTTGGGCTCAGAAAAGACTTGCTCTGAAAGGCCTGAAAGGGTATGGAACGAGTAAATACGAGGATGCAACCACGGGCAACAAGATTAAATGGGATATGTAGTGAAGGAATGTGCGTCATATCAGTCATATAACATCATATAACCTACATCGCAAGCATTTGATCTTGTCTGGCACCTAGCTGTAGAGCACGTACTGCTGTAGCTCGCAGATCCGCCACCGTTGCACTTTGTGAAACCGAAACTTCCGTAGTGCGACCACTGGGCAAAGCGACGATGATGGTGAGATCGCCTAAACCTTTTGCGAGGAGTTGCCTGAAAAAGACATGTAAAATAGTTCTTGGATTCAAATCTAGCTATACACAGAATTGTCTTCGCAAATAATATAATCAAGTGTACAAGTCAATACATTAGTATGCATTAGTAACATACGAGATCATACGAGTATATCATCATACAAGATGTGCAAGCAGCAACTCTGTACTGCATCTATTTTTCAAGCTTTGCTTGTAGTCAGATTCGTGTACAACCTTCCAACTGCATTCTTTGGTTTGGGTTTCAGAAGAAACAGAGCGTCACTGAACAGGAAACAAGCAACAGGAACTTGAGCGCTTCTGTGCGCTCATTGAAGTCAGCACCGCGTTTTCGGAGTTGGGCCAAAGGGAGGCTCAAGTGAGGCCTTCAAGCGAGACCTTCGAGCCTTGTGACACCCAGACTTGTGACAGTGTCTTCCCTTGCCGGCCTACCACCTGCTAGACATATGTGATGACACACCTTTTCCTTGCGTTTCAACATGTTTCACTAGCATCGCGAGCCCTAGATATCTATATAATAATGTTTCTATATGTTTCTTCCGTTGGCTGTCTCATCTGCATCGGAGTTTTCAATGGTCATGAATTTTCAACCAGGAGCCTGGTGAGCCAAAACAATCTTGCGGTGTGCGGTTTTAGCTTCTTCTTAATGTGTCCGGAGGAAGCAACCGGCATGCCCAACTTCGCAAGAGAGTTCCAGCATCAACCCCAAATTCATGGGACTTGACAAAATCTGACATGAATATGTAGATCGAATACCTGGACCTGAACTGTATGAATGCCAAGACTCATGCGCTCGTTGTTGCTTCTACTGTTGAGCTCGGCACAGGTGGCCCCTGACAACTCTGGCTCCGCCTCACTTGCAAGCACAGTCCACAAACAAGGAGCAAAATCATCTTTACTGTACGTATCACCAATAAGTTCCCGAGGAATCCTAAAGATGTATAAAGATGTGGATTTGTTTTCAATCCTTCATTGAATGGTTTGTTTCTGACCTTTTTCGCTGCCACTATGGACGGTTGCAAATTTGGCTCGACCAAGCAACTCTACTTCTCCTGTACTCAGCGAGAGGGACCTTTGTCATTGTCGGATTTTGATTCAAAGCATTTCAGGGCCCAGACCTTCTGGTGAATCAACAGCTCTGCATCAACCCGAAGGACCACCTGTGCTCTGATGGCTGTCTTGCAGGGACCAGTGTGGCCCCAGTGTGGCCCCAGTGTGGTCAATGTCATCGAAACACAGCATGCCGCAAGATTCCCAAGGCAACTTGCGCGAGTTTGCACCTTCGCCAACTCTTCAGAAGAGCCGCTTTTCAGCCTGTCAAGAAACTTAAAAGCGAATGAGGTCAATTCAGAAAAACTCTGAATAGGCCTGAAGTCTTACAAATTTAATTTCAATCCTGTGAATGATGTGAATGTCTGAGCGAATATATAATAATCACAATTACACAAACAGTAAACACATGTAAACACAAACAAGTGAACCAAAGAGCATCAACGACCGAAGGAATGAACCGAAGCGTTTCATACCACCTTTGGCTGACTGTCGAGCCACTCTAGCCCCATTGGATTCGCTTTTCATGCCACGCAAAACTATTATCACAGTCCTACCAAGAGGCCATTGCTGAGCGGAATACTCAGAAATGTCCTTCAGGATTCGGGACAACTAGAACAACTCCGGTTTGCACAGCACAGCTACTCATCTGCACACCAATTCAGGAGAATCGAATCGCATTTCGGGTGCCCTAGGTGTTTGACCTTACTCACATCCCTTGAGATCCCTTGAGTATGAACACCCTTTAAAATCTTTAAATGGAATCGACGTCAACAAAAAACATCAAAGACTTGGGATTCCCAACTCTTTCATGGCTACTGCGATGGCATCGCGTGCAGCTGCAGAAAGGACCTCCAGTTCCAAAATGTTCCAAACTTTGTCCAAACACATTTCTTCGGATCGGGTCGTCTTGGGATGCACGGCAAGCGGCGCTACACTGCTACACATCTCTCCCTTCACATTATTCGAGTCCATTCGATCCTGTCTATTTACATATACGTATATTCACTGTATATTCATTCCTTTATCTGGTGGACCTGCTGATCTAATCTGATCTACTTCTCTGCGTGTCAAATGCTGTCTTGATCTCACACCTGAACTGCACCGAGTCATCAAACTTCACAGATGCCAGTGGTTAGTAGTGGTATTGAAGAAAATATAAAATATATGAAAATATTGCAAGCATTCAAAGTTCCCCTTTCACTTGCATGATTCTTGACTGTCCATGACGGTCCAAAAATGAATTTGAAAACAATGTTTTTGCAAACAATGAACCACTCAACGCGTCGCTTGGTCCTGGAGTGCTCAATGGCTCAATATGGCTCAATATACTGCTTGTGTCTTGAAGGAACCACTTGTGGTGGCCCTGAGCAGTTCCAAACGACTTCGACCGCATTCCTCTGGGCCCCCTCACAGCGCCCCGGCGGCCATGGCCTGTGTGCTGAGCAAGTCACGGCACATGGTCCTCTGAAGGTAAACACACCTCCACATACAAAAAAAACAAAATAAGTTAACCTGCATTTGGAGGGTCATTCAGAGCTAACTATGCTGTCACAATGCAAACTTCAGATTCCTTTGACATGTTGCCCTCTCAATGTCTCAAAAAAAAAACGTTGCGTGCCAAACAAATCTGCTATGATAGGCAAACGAAGCCCATATGTTCATTCATTCTTTACATTTCTTTACGCCTCTCTATTACATCTTGACATTCTTGACTCATCTGAACACTGCTGAGCTGCCAGGTACCCGCACCATCCACCACAGCGACGCATGCGACGGACCCATTTGCAGAGGTGTAGAAAGTGTCCTGAATCGATTTTGATGATTTTGATGGGCTAAATGGAGCAAGGCAACCTTCCTGATCGGATTCAAACCCACGACTCTGAACGCTGTGATACACTGCAAAAAGGTCAGAAGCAGCGGCATCCACAATGTCATGGCAAAGCGTGATATGTACGCCCATCATCACCCATCGATATCACGGGCATTCCCGTGCGCGTGTTCTGTCCCTGGGAAATGACAGAATGACAGAGTTCTTTCACACCCCGAGACCGTGACAGCAGCCCACTTCAAGTGGGGTCAGGAAAAAAGTGAACTGACAACCTGGAGTATGGGTTATATAATATATATGTACTATCTCTGTGTGCCTTTGAAAATAGATGCAGGATACCGGAGGGTAGTGCGAATTAATGCGAACTCCGATGACAGAATGCAAAACCGTCACCGAGCCTGATTCTCCTTGGCTTCGCCATTTCGCCTGATCGTAATAACGATGCAGAAACAACCAGAATCTGCCAAAGCCTTTGCATTTTTGAAGATATACATCAAACAAAAATCAGCATACTGTATGTGACCGGTAGATATTACACGTTGGCCCGGCTTCTAAACGCCATGTGTGCGTCTACTATGTCACATCTGCAGTTTCCAGAAGTATATAAGACGTTTCTCAGTTCGCACAAAAAAAGACCAGCAAATGCGAAAATACTGTACGTGCTGTGATTGTTAAACTGCCTTTGTGTATCTTTGTGTCACCTTTGATGCGCACACCTTCGCACTATATAAACTGTAGGAGTGTTGCTACCAAGTGCTACGCTACCTGTACCAAAGGCCACATCTCACGAAATGTATGACAACGACATACTCACATCATCTTATATAAACTTTGTTGTGCAATGTTGTGCACATGCTGCCGAATGCACTTTCATTTGTTGTATTCACCTGTATCTTCTTTTGTAAGCAATGCAACGATTCATTGATTGCTTAAACTTGATTCAGACAAGAACTGGTTGTATTTGCTTACTTGACGCACGGATGGAGACCTCATCAGACCTCATCAATGACTTTGGCATCCCCACTGGCCGGCCATGGAAGCTGCACCAATGAAGCCGACCTTTTACAACGACACGTTGTAGGGGGTTTGCCGTGGTTGCCCCAATTGCAAACAGAGAATCCTGATGAAGTATCAAATGAACTGCAGGACCAAATTCCCAGCCTTCGATTCAACGGAACACAAAACAAACAGAAATTGTTTTGAAACAAGACAGGACATGACAAAACTATATCATTATATGGGTCCAGAATTGTTTTGGGAATGATTTGTTTTCCATTTTTTTAACTATTTTTTCTGCCCGTTTTCCTTGCTATTTGCAGCATTTTGGAGCTGGAAACTGCCAGTTCAACTGTCTTTGCAACATTTTGGAGTTGGAACCCCTCATTTAATTTGCAACATTTTGGTGGAATTTGTATCATTTTGGAGCTGGAAGCTGCCGTTTCAACGGTATTTGCAGCATTGTTGAGTTCGAACTTTTCATTTTTGATGGAATTTCCAACATTTTGTTGCTAGAACTGTTCATGTAACATGGTGGTTTGCAACTAGGGTTCATTTAGGGTTGGTTTTACGATGTTTTACGGTTAGTTTAGGGGTTTTGTTTGGTTTTAAGTTTTTGAAGGGTTGGTTTTAGAGTTAGGGTGTATTTAGTTGCTCTTTTAAGGGTTAGTTTAGGGTTTGTTTAGGTTTTATTTAGGTTTGGTTTAAGATCTATTTATGGTTGGTTTAGGACCCATTTAGGGTTGGTTTAAGGTTTGTTGAGGGTTGGTTTAGGATCTATTTAAGCCTGGTTGAAAGTCTATTTAGGGTTGGTTTACTGTTTATTTAGGCTTCGGTGAGCATCGTCGTGCGGCTGGTTTAGGGTGTATTTAGGGTTTATCCAGGCTTGGTTTAGGATCTATCTAGAGTTGGTGTAAGACCTATTCCAGATTGGTTTTTGGTGTGAGTTTAGCGTTGGTTGAAGATTTATGTAAATCTGGTTAAATCTATTTAGGGCTGGTGTAAGGTTTATTTAGGATTAGTTTCAAATCTATTTAGGGAGTGTTTAGGTTTACTTAGAGTTGTTTTAGTGTTTCTTTGGTTACGGGTTTATTTGTGGTTGATTTACGGTTTATTTATATGATGTTTCTTAAGGATTATGGCAGTATGAGAAACAAAAAAAAGGGAAAAACAGAAAGCAGAGAAGCTGGAAAAGCAGAAAAACAGGGGAAAACAGAAAAGCGGAGAAGCAGAGAGGCAGCACAGTGGATAAGCAGAGAAGCGAAGAAGCAAAGAAGCAGAGGAGCAGAAACGTGGAGAAGCAGAGAAGCAAAGAACTATAGAAGCAGAAAAGGAGGAAAAAACAGAAAAACAAGAAGCAAAGAAGCAGAAAAACAAAGAAACAGGGAAACAGAAATCCCAAAAAAATGCCCAAAACGGAAAAGAAATAGTTCCCCCAAAAGAAAGTTGTTTTTTTTTACTTTTTTAGTTTGTTTCATTCGAAATTCTCAGAAATGCCCAATTTCCCAAAATATATGATGCCTTGCTAAAACCCAATTAAAAAACAGCACTCCAACAATTTTTCAAGGGGGTAGTCCATGAGCAACCCTGATCCGCAATAGTATGTTTGTTTTGGGGCCCACTATTGTGCCCAGCTGCTGCCTAAGGTGAAAAATCAACAAAATCATTCTCTCCTTTCCTTTTCCTTTGCTAATATATACTTTTCTCTGTTTTACTTTCTTAGCTCCATTCTTCTTGGAAACAAAATCAAAAAGTTTTTCCAAAGGGTGAACTCCAGCCAACCAAGGCATTTCTGTAGGGTTTCCATGAAATTTCTTTTGGATTTCTATGATATTTCTATGGTATTACTATTGGATTTCTATGGGGTTCCTATGGAATTTCCGTGGTGTTTCTATGATATTCCTGGAGGATTTCTATGGGATTTCTGAAGGGGTGCTCTAGGGTTTCTATTGGATTCCTGTGGGATTTCTATTCGATTCCTTTGTGATTTCCAAAGTATTTCCATGATGTTTCTATGATATTTCTATGGGATGATTTTGAGATGTCTGAGGGGATTCTATGAGATTCTTATGGGATTTCTTTGTGGTTCCTGTGCTATTCCATGTTATTTCTATGATCTTTCTATGGGGTTTCTGTGGGATTCCTATGGGATTCCATGGTATTTCTATGCGATTCCTATAGGATTTAAAAGGGTTTCTATGGTACTTCTACCAGTAGTACCGCACAAGGCGGTGGCGGAAGTTTCAAAAATAGGAAACCTATAGGAGAGATTGGTTCTTGTGAATCAGGGATGGCAGAGCGAATCCACTGATGGACCGAAAGGTGCTTGAGGTCTCCTCTCTTTCTCTCTCTTTCTCTGACTATCTACCCACCTACCAACCTATCTATCTGTCTGTCTGTCTGTCTATCTGCCGACCTGTCTATCTGTGGTGCAGTGTCATTCAGTGTAATGTAGTGTAGTGTAGTGTAGTTGAGTGTAGTGGAATGTAGTGTAGTGTAGTGTAGTGTAATGTAATGTAATGTGGTGTAGCGTAATTTAGTGTAGTGGAGTGTAGCTGTGTATTCGTAGTTGTAGTTGTAGTGTAGTGGAGTGTAGTGTAGTGTAATGTAGTGAAGTGTAGTGGAAGGTAGTGTAGTGTAGTGTAATTTAGTGTAGTGTAGTGGAGTGTAGTGTAGTGAAATGCAGTGTAGCGTAGTGTAATTTAGCGTAGTGGAGTGTATTGTCGTGGAGTGTAGTTGTGTAGTTGTAGTTGTAGTGTAGTGTAGTGTGATCTATTGAAGTGTAGCGGAAGGTAGTGTAGTGTAGTGTAGTGTAATTAGTGTAGTGTAGTGTAGTGTAGTGTAGTGTAGTGTAGTGTAGTGTAGTGTAGTGTAGTGTAGTGTAGTGTAGTGTAGTGTAGTGTAGTGTAGTGTAGTGTTAGTGTAGTGTAATGTAGTGTAATGTAGTGTAATGTAGTGTAGT